TAGTCAGGAAGACATTAGACATAGGACCAAAAGACCAATGTTATGTGAGATATTTGAAGGGGATAGACTACCCTCCGGCCCACCTTTAATATTAAATTGGTATAAAGAAGATAAATTCTTTTAAAAAATAAAAAATAAACGCTGCCATAGCAGCTCAACCGTCTTCTTCCAATCCTAAAGAAGACGAAGCGTCTTCTTCCAAACTCGAAGAAGACAATGCTGCCATGGCAGCTTGGTTGGTTACCAAGCTGCCATGGTAGCCAATAATTAAAAAAATATATACTGTATTTAATTATTGAAATATATTACATGCCAACATTTAGAATATATGTAAATGTCAAGTCAGCTAATTTTAATACATTACCTAATGGTAACATGTAAAAAGGCTTAATTGCATTTTTTTAAAAAAATTTAAGTGCCTAATTAAAATTTTTTGTAGTTGAGGGGATTACTTGCATTTTTATCAATAGTTCACAGGTCTATTTGACCCTTATTCTTATTAAATTTGGAGTAAAAATCCTAGGGAACAAGTGGACTAGGGCACTTGAGGATTTCATGTTCCCCACCTAGCTAGCCGTTAGAAACTCCCCCAAATTTGCACCTTACGACCCCAAATAGATGCATTCATTCATCAATCTTTACCTCATAGCCTCATATATTCATTATAATTTTGTCTTCCAAAAATAAAAATTGACTTTTTTGTAAGTAATAATGTATAGTACAAGTAATTAGGTTATTGTAAAAAAAATTCCCAATTAACATCTTTTACTAAATTTTGAGTAGAAACAGTAAAACGTTGAAGATTAGGTTACAGTCCTCTCATTAAAAGTTTGTGTTATTAGGAAGTGGGTTTGCTTAGACATGATATCTCACGACATTTTGGAGAAGAGACCAAGGTTTGAACTTCGACAGCAAAATGTGAAGATTATATTTAAAGTGGGCAAATCTCTTGTGTGCATCGACATTTGGTCCTGACTGTTGAATTATTAAATCATCGTAATTTACATCTTTTTAAATACTTTGTCGGACTGAGGTGTGGGGGACCCTTGGGGTTGGACCAGGATCCAACCTTTCTGGGAGAAGATAATTTGATTTTGATTCCCAGAAGTGACGATTCCCTTTGTGCCAGCTCCTGTGCCTCTCGGAGTGAACCGGGTGAACCTAGACCATTAAACGGACAAGGAAAGACTCGGACCATGTTGTGGTTCACACCAAAAAAAAAAAAAAACATTTTTGTACGACAACTAACACACGTAGGGTTCTTGATGAATTCATTGGGAAGAACCGGCAAGCTAAGCCCCAATTCCAATAAAGCCGCCATGTCCGCCCAAGGGAAGTGATTAGTCTTGGCAGAATGAAGAAGCCTAGCAGTTAAATGCTCCATTTAAGCACTTAGGCCTTTAATTTGCACCTTCTTCAACAAAGTCTATGAATTCAAAATTATTCTTTCCCATTTTACTCAATAACGGTATCATATTCCATCCGGTAGAAATACAACTATACAAGTTAGACATTGTACTACATATTATTTGATACAAACCGTAGTACATTTGTATTAGGTACAACACGATACTGACTTGATCTGTATTATTTGTTACTATAGAAGTCATTGAAACATGGCACTAATAGACTATTACATGCATATATATAAGGAAATAAAGTTGCGTCTTTATTACTATGTAACTATAATCTGCAACTACTATCGAAGGATACGCACTAGGATCCCGCTCCTGTGTAATATCTAGCAAACTACATAGGAAAGTTAAACTACACTAGGAATATGCGATGAACTTGACCAAAAGGGTATTGGTAATAAGAACCAAACTTGTGACTTTTGACATATTGATAAGTATTTAATTTGGTCTTGACAATTATATTGGTATGTATAAGAGAATGTCATAAATCGGGGATTATTGGACGGAGGCTTGAATAATTGAAGTACGTCATAGTTACTAGTTATAATTTTTGATATAGTGATAAACATTTGATCTGCGATATACAACTTCTCAGCATGGATAGATACATCAAATTTCCTTCTCCCTAAATTTTGAATTCCCAACCTCAATGGCCTCCCACACTCCGACGCGACAAAATATTTGGGAGAATGTAAATCAGGGTGACTCAATATAACTCAGCAGACAGGGGAAAATGCCGGTGTGCACTAAGGATCTGCCCACTTTAGACATAACGTCGGTATGTTTATTATATAATATTATTTTTGTAATTACATTTGCTAAAAGGATTCTTATTTCTTGATGGTTGGGGGGATATGATCTAATTAGGCACAATAATCTTATCAAGAACAAAACCAACATCCTCTGCCCTACTCCATACCCTAATAAATGCAAAGCATTAATAACTTCAGATTTGTCTCCCCCTTGAGTCCCTTTTCTCACGATTCCTCCACCTTCCTCTACTTAATATTTCCAACTCCCTTTCTTGTGAAGTGGTTGAACAAATTAATGCCAACTCCTTCAACCCACCACCTTTTTTATTCTCATTATTATCACAGGAGATTCTCCCATGCCATCAAAGTACCCTTCCTTCATTTCTCCTCTATCTTCTTTCTCTAGCTACCTCCCTCCATCTATCTATGGTCTCTTTCAATCTCTTTTCATTTCATATAACTCCCCTTCTCCTCCCTTATTTCTTTCTTCTCTTCATCATTCAATTCACTCATTCACTTTAATTTCCCCATATATGTTTCACTTTTTTCGTCACTGTTTATGTTCTCTAACTTTTTCTTGCTTCTTTTATAGTCAAATGACTGGAAATAATAAGACATTCCGGCCCGACAGAAGTAGTTGTAATGGTGGTGGTGGTGGTGGTACGAGGACAGATTTGGTTGATTGTTTTTTCTTGTACCGGCCAATGTATGCACGAGATATTAGTGCGGTTCAATGGGAAAGTAAAGCTCAAAATTTTTGACCTCTTCTTTTTTATTGAGCCGTGCCAATATCACGTGTCACATATGCTGTAATTTTAATTTGATCAAAATGTAATGTGAATATCCCAGGGTAAGATGAGATTTATTTTTTTCTTCTATATATTCTCATGATATTTCTTCTCCCATCCCTAAGGCCCCCACATCCCAGCTCGACAGAGTAGATGTAAATTACGGTGACTCAATGGCTCAGCAGCACAAAGGATCTGTTCACTTTTGTTCTATTCTCATGATTCTTTTAAAGATTATTAGCCTAAATGGTAAGCATTCACATAGCAGTTCTAGCTAGCTAGGGAGGATTAAAAATGGAGAAATTCTTACTTAGATATCTGCAAAATTTATGTATGTTTGTATATATATATATATATATATATATATATATATATATATATATATATTGAGACTTTTTACTATGTGCAATGTGTACCAAACAGAGACTGTGTGTATGTTATCAAATGGTTAACTTGCAGGTTGAACAAGGTTTAATGTATACACTTTTGTTGTTGTTGAAACATTCATTTTAACCCATTTATCTGTCTTGTATATATGCTAGAAGTCTTGTAGTCAAACTGACATTAACTTTAAGCTATTTACAAAAATGTTTATATATAGTGGTAAACATGGTATTTTTCGACTCCCTTAGACATTCTAAAATTTTTTAAGATTTTATTTGTTCAGTTTCTGAGTCTAATAATTAAAATGTATAATAAGAAAAATAAAAAGTTTAAATGTGTTACTATTATTAGACATCTTGTGAGTTACACTTCTCTATCACTTTATTGACATAATGCAATATTTTGATACATATAAATTTACCTAAGTTGTATAGAATATGTGTAACTGAGAATAAAGATATTGTTATATAGATGGCCAGATGGGAATAAAGATATGAATGAGTTATAAATGGGTAGATTGGATAGTGGGTTGCCGGGTAACTATTATTTTTTTCGTGTGTGAAATGATTTACAGTTATATCTCTTTGCTAATTTTATTGGTTCTAAATGACCACCTAGTTAGTCAAAAAAAAAAAAAAAAAAAAAAAATGACCACCTAGATATTTATAAATTCTTTATTGACTTCTTTCCTTTGTATAAAAATAAAAAAGTAGAGCATCTTTTTATCCCTTTTTTGAGGCAATCACCCTGCGACACGTCAGGAAACAATAAAAATGGAGTGAAAATAAAAAATAAAATAAGTGTAGCATATTACTCATTACATTATAGGTTATTCACTGGTTAATATTTTCACTTTATGATTGTCAAAAAAAGATCAAAAGTAAGAGTTTAGAGACATACACGATTTTTACAAACATTTTTTTTAAAAATATTTTTAAAAACTACTAATACCACCAATATGATGTATGTGGGTATGCAATAATAACTAGTAATGCCACCAGTATTAGGTGTGTATTAATGAGTTTTAAGTGTAAAGGGATTTCTCTTCCAATGTGATTATATTTCCAGCTAATGGTGGCATTTTTGGAGATCTGAACTACTTAAGTAAGCTTTAATTATGGTCCATTTATAATACCTAACAGTCTGCACCACTTAGCATATATGCAACCAAACTAGAGTTTGATGGGTCTTTAATTGTTTGAGCAAAAATCATAAATTTAAGTTTTAAATCATACAATAATGTATGAGTCATGACCTGTTGGTAAGACAATGTAGAAATATCCAAGGCCAAATAGGCCCTTCGGGGCAGGAAAAAATGACTGAAATGTGACCAAACAAATATGTATTTCCAAAATTTGGGTCCGACAGGGCAGCAGCACAGCGGTGGAATATCTGGGTCGCGCACAGCTTCTAGTGGAGGACCTTGCGCACGCCGGCCGGCCAATCTCCCTGGACGAATAGAACCTCTTCGTGTTCCGGGGGTTGCGCCCGGAATATCGCGCCATGGCTTTCTCTCTCACCGCGGCAGGTAACCCCGTCACTATTCTGCAGATTTCCGACTTCCTGCAGGCGCAGGAGTTCATCCACGCAGACGACTATCCGGCCGGAGCTGATGGTGGTCTTCTTCCCGCAGCGGGCTCTTATTATCTCAATGCCGCTACATGAAGGACATTTTGACTCGTGCTGGTATGGCTGACTGCAAACCACTAGCAACCCCTGCGGCGGTAAACCAACCGGTTTCACCATCTGATGAAGTGTATTACAATCCGACTCAGTATCGGCGCATAGTAGGGGCACTACAGTATTTGACCATTACAAGGCCGGACCTGTCCTATGCGGTCAATCACCTGTGTCAGCTCATGCACTCACCGACAAATGATCATTGGGGCTTAGTGAAGCGTGTGCTACGTTACATCAGAGGCACTTTGGACTATGGATTGCGGTTATTCGTCTCTGGTTCCTCAGTTATTCATGCCTATTCTAACTCCGATTGGGCAGGATGCCCGCTAGATAGGAAAAGCACTGGTGGCTACGCTGTTTTTTTACGGACCAATTTGGTTTCCTGGTTGTCCCGTAAGCAGCGCACGGTTGCATGCTCGTCGACGGAAGCCGAGTACAAGGCCCTTGCTGATGTGTCTGCTGAGGTCACGTGGATTATGTCTTTACTACGCGAGTTAGGGCTTCACTCTGGGGATCCGCCCACGCTATGGTGTGACAACTTAAGGGCTACCTACTTATGTGCTAATCCGGTCTTTCACGCCAAAACCAAACATGTAGAGATTGATTTCCATTTTGTCCGGGACAAGGTCGCATCTGGAGAACTGCGGGTGAATTATGTGTCTATCAAAGATCAGCTAGCAGATATTTTCACCAAACCATTGCCGGGCCCGAGATTTGCAGCTCTTCGTGACAAGCTTAATGTTGTGGCTCACCACCCTTAAGCTTGAGGGTGTGTGTTAGCAATATTATATTTAATGTTACATATTTATGTTACACTTGTTTAATAATGTAATAGGTTAGGACTCTGTGGCTTTCCTGTTAGATAGGGATACTATACGGTAGGTTGTTTTAGCTATTAGTATTGTATTCCTATTCCATTGTAACTGAACAACATAATTGATTGTCTCATCAGGACATTTGGAAAATGCGTTAGATTTTGGAAATACATATTTGTTTGGTCACATTTCAGTCATTTTTTCCCTTTGGGGCATAGGTTAGTGATTAAAAGGACAAATAGGGATAATATATGCTAGCCAAGGTTGCTAACAAATCTTATTGAGTAGTTCGAACCCTAACAAATCTTATTGTGTGTGTTGGGAAAAATCCCACCACCTGTGACAAATAAAATCACAGGACCGACAAGAGCGCAAATACGAGATGGTACAAAATAGCCAAAATAAATAACAGACACAAGGGACACAAGATTTACGTGGAAAACCCCAAAATCACGGGGAAAAACCACGGACCACCACCAACACAATATTCCACTATAACAAATCTTGGGTACAAAGTTGCTGGCTACCACCCGAGCCAAACACCCTAAAAATCATCAAATACAACAACTAGGCCAAATACAATATATCACGTTCACAGGCCTAAAAAAGGGATACCAACTCATACACCAGACACTTCTACATACTACACATATTCCTTTTGTATTTTTCGGTAGAAGCAGTAGGCCAAAAAGAAAGAAAAATTCAGTTTTCTTTCTTTCTCTTTGCACGGCCGTATGCAGCAGTTGAAGGAGCAACATCTATTTCTTCTTCTTTTTGTGCTACTTTGTCGTGGGTTTGCCTAGCTTCTTTGGTAGCACGGCGGCGGCGTGTGTCGACAGGTTTTGTCGCACGTCTGATGGATTTGTCGTGAGGTTTGCCGAAGATCTTTGGGGTACTTTTCTTCATCAAATATTTTGTAGAGGTCAGTGTTTGTTCGTGGTGGTTGAATATTTTGAGTACGAGTTGGTATCCCTTTTTTAGGCCTGTGAATGTGATATATTGTATTTGGCCTAGTTGTTGTATTTGATGATTTTTAAGGTGTTTGGCTCGTGTGGTAGCCAGTAACTTTGTACCCAAGATTTGTTATAGTGGAATATTGTGTTGGTGGTGGTCCGTGGTTTTTCCCCGTGATTTTGAGGTTTTCCACGTAAATCTTGTGTCCCTTGTGTCTGTTATTTATTTTGGCTGTTTTGTACCATCTCGTATTTGCGCTCTTGTCGGTCCTGTGATTTTATTTGTCACAGGTGGTGGGATTTTTCCCAACAAAGTGGTATCAAAGCCCTGGTTGTGGATCAGGTGTATTTGACATGGAGGCAAATACAATAAATATGGTGCGGTTGAACGGTAGAAATTTTCACATTTGGAAGGCCAAGATGAAGGATCTCCTGTTTGTGAAGAAATTGCATCTACCTGTGTTTGCAAGTGCAAAGCCAGCAAATATGTCAGACGAGGAGTGGGACTTTGACAACCAACAAGTTTGTAGTTATATTCGACAATGGGTCGAAGACAATGTTCTGAACCATGTTATTTATTTTGGCTGTTTTGCACCATCTCGTATTTGCGCTCCTGTCGGTCCTGTGATTTTATTTGTCACAGATGGTGGGATTTTTCCCTACAGTGTGTAACATTCAGACCCTACTCCACTAGTGCACATCATGCGATTTGCTCCGATCCTTTAGTCAATCTCTGAGGCGAGGAAGTAGAGACCCTCGGGGTTTGTGCTCAACTTTACAAAAGGCCAAACAAATCCAATTGTGTGCAACATTCAAACCCTACTCCACTAGCATATCATGTGATTCGTTCCTTTGATCTAGTCAATCTCTGAGACCAATCGTTATATCATGGATCAGGGTTCACAATGCACTGTAGACACAGGTCTAATACACAGAATTCATGTGTATAATGCACAAAATTCATGTTCATAATACACAGAATTCATGTTCATTATATCGTGTTATGTGTATATGTATTATGAACATGAATTCAGTGCATTATGAACATGAATTATGTACCTTATGAAGTCAAATTCTTAGCTAGAATTTGTTTGGCCTTTTGTAAAGTTGAACCCCACCCGGCACCCGGAGGGCCTCTAGTTCGAACCCCAACAGATCTCATGCGATTTGCACCTCTAGTCAATCTTCAAGGTAAGGAACTAGAGGTCCTCGGGGTTGGAAAATTCAAGCATTCAACTTTACAAAAGGCCAAACATAATGCAATTTGCTTGAGCACACTACAATGTGAGCAAAGGCAACTTGTGCACAGAGATGGGGGCACTGGAACTCACAAGAACTATATGATCTGCATTTATTAACATTATTAATTGCAGGGGTCCAGTCCAGTGAATGCTGCTTAGTGCTTACACTTCTGCCATTCATCCAGACAGCAAAAACAAAAAGAGAGCTTTGAAAGCCTTTCCTTTCTGCCACTCTCCTAGCTCTACTATGATCAACAACATATTTTTATGTTATTGCACACTATATATGCAGACTACTCTTTCGGTCCTATCTCTTGTGCTATATCTATCAGTGTATGTGTGTGTGTATGTATAGTTCCGCTTACTTAACGCGAAACGCGGGAGCAGAATGCTTTTAATCTTCTCTTCACCCCCGATCGAGCTCAGAAAAAGCGTTCAGAAACTAGCATTCCACAGTGCTTTCTCTCCCTCGCCACACCGCCTGTGAACCTCCTTTATCCTGTCAACCGACCTGCATATCCCGCTGCAGGTCCAGTCGAACGAGGCGACGCAAATGTTGCCCGCTTGCGCCTTCCATTCACAGTCTGCGGGCAAGAAAGAAATGCAGATGAGAAAGATGAAATTCAACTTTTTATATTGCTATAAATGTTTCGTTTTGTAACCAGCTTGGTTGGCCCGGTGGCCGTGCACTCTTGTCCCTTAAGTGGGGTCGGAAATTCGAACCCCCTCTTGTATGGAAAAACCAATATGGCCAACACGGGGATTAGTCTGAGTATAGTATGGGCTTAAAGGTGTCTCTTACAGTTAGGGTCTGCTCAAGACACCTCGTGATTTGACAAAAAAAAAATGTTTCGTTCTGTCAAATTAATAGCTTTACCAGGTGGAGTTCCACAACACAGCCTTCGATCATCAACATGCTGCACGTCGAGCCCAATAAACCAAGACCCCAACGAAACATCCTCATTCGCAAACTTGTGCAGTACATGCCTACAACGATAACAAGAATTCGATCATCATGACAACATTTCAATGAAGGACTAAGAAAACAGCAATCAAATTAAAACATCCTTAACTGGTTTGCTGAAATATATGTAGCCAAGTCTTTCGAGATTGCATATAACTGTCCCGTGGCATGGCGAAAATATTTGTTGCCGTTATCCCCAAACTTCCAGTACTCCGGTTCGTGGTACCTAACTCCCCTGCCACATGGAAATTAATTAAGGTTCTAAACCTCAGACCTTAACAAATACTATGTATACTTCAATTGCAGATCGAAAACATATCAAGGCTTCGTTCTCACTTCTGATTTAGGACAGGACCCGACTTCATGCACCCGATGTAGACCCGAGGTTTCTTCCGGTGTCTGGCTAATGTTTCCCCTAGTGTTCCTACACAATAATACAACTAAAGATTACAACGAACCCTTTGCGAAAAAAACCGAGAAACAATTATAAGATCTTTGGCGGTTACCTATATTTACATGAACATCATCATCGACCTTGATGTAGTATTCCGCATCCCATAACTTCACAGCGGTGGCAAAGTAAGTTCTCGTCTTAGCTGACAACTCAAGATATCCTTCGACGTGATCCTGCATACATAGCCATGAAACATAAATGTTCGGTTTTTCTATTCGTTACATATGATTATGGATTAGAGCAGCGGGCAAAGGAATTACGAGTCGCAAGAAATCTCCATGCTTGCTATCCTCGGCATCAATAGCTCTATCCAATATACCTCCAGATATTGCACTGCAAGAAATTAAATATAAACGATTCCATTAGTCAGAACTTACACACTGTCATCTATATATATTCAAACGAGAAGTTAAAACGCGTAAGAACTGGAAAAATGCAAAAACAAATGAGAATATAGACCTTACCCATGACCAATGACGAAGCGAATGATAATCCCTTTCTCTTCTTCCAATTTCTTCCTTTTCTCGCCTATTGAATTGCATCATAATGAATTGAAGGAAAAGGAAATGTGAAAACTTATATTAACTTAAAATCGAAGAAAAACATAAGCACAAAGGCAAAGAGAAACTAGCCTTGTGGCATCCATGTAGCCCGAACTGAATCTCTTCGTTTTCTGCTGCTAAATGCGGTATTAATTCCTATAACCATAAAATATTTTCTTCTTCGGGACGAGCCGCTCTTCTCAGCGTCCTCCATCACAGTACCACCCCCGAGAATCGATCCCTGGGCTGCTTTCGCAGCAGCCAACTCCATCTCCAAACCCGAAATAGTTTTATCCAGTGTCCTGCAAAAGGTGTAAACTCAAGAACTACAAAACGAAATCATAACCGTGTATGTAAAGAAGGAATCAAAGCAAAACTCACTTGATAGCTTCATCTTTCCTATGATCTTCCCCGAAAACGCCTTTGGATACCTTTACATACTTCGCCTGCATTTCAATGATAACATCATAAATGAAAAGGACAAAAAAAAATGCAGACTAGGAACCCAGAAAGTGGAGAAAGAAGAGGATTTCAAGATTCTCACATATTTTGTATCACAACCTTGTGATCCTAGCTTCAAACCTTCATCCTCAGATGTAGGAGTTATACTGATTTCTTGTGATTCAGGAAATACTCTCCACATTCTGCCAAAAATTAGAATGTGATCTCTTCAGATACAGTAAATCAAAATAATAATGCCTCTAACAAAAGTAATCATAACCGGGGCAACCCAGCCAAATTGGTCGGACTGTTAACTTGATAACCATATAAGGTTACTCCCCAGTCCCCACG